CGATCTGCTTCGACTGCTGCCGATCCTTGGAGGCGCCCTTCGCTGCGTCGGTTTCTTCTGCCCCAGCCTCTGGGGCGGGCCTGAGCTTCGCTCGTTGACAGTCTCCTCCACTGCCGCGCTGGCACGGTCGGGCTTTGTCACGTACCCAGAACGTCGTCAGCATCTGCGACACTTCCGCGCTGCGGCGGAGCGGCGGATCCAACGTCGACCTTTTGACCTTTGCGACCTCACTGGTGGGCTGCCCCCCCTCCTGAGCAGCGTCGTCACCGGTAAATCACTGAGAGGCTATGTGCGACGTTTCTCGCTCTTCCTGCGCAGCGACGGCATGCGAATACTTGTCCAGCAAGCCAGAGGCGCGACGGCAAGTACACAAAGTGGCGTACTATGCACTCCTCGGGGATCTGGCGCGCCCATTTCTCACTGCCTACGACGGCGCGGACTCGCCCGTAGTTGACGCTACGATCCGTCGTTGGGCCAAATGGTTCCTTGGCCGTCTAGTACACCTTCAGAAAGTCCCGCGGGGCCCCCTGCAGAGGCAGTCGAGGTCGCATCTCGCCGCGCGGGCGCTCAGCGTCCTGCGCGCATGGGTCGGCGGGCGGCTTGCTCTGGCAAGTTTTATGATTGCTGGTGGGCTGCGCTGCTGTAGCTTTTGGGTGCGAAGATGGCCAGGGCGAGATCGGCCACCATTGGGAGAGTCGATGCTTGGTTCAGGGTCGCTGCGGCCGAGTCTGGCGAGCGCCAGTTGATTGCCTCGGATGTCTTGGACCGACGCGGCCTTCGCGGCGCTTACAACGACGACCTACTAAACGCGCAGCTCGCCACCATCATCCGCCACGATGTTCGCCACATGGATCATGTTGTTCCCGAAGCCCCACTCAATGCTGCACGCTTTGCGCTGAAAGTTCGTGCTCTGGCGCGCCCTTGCACTGGTCGTGCGCGGCGCGGGCATTGTCGTCCTCCGGGCCCATCTGATCTGTCTCTGCCGGCGCCTCCACCCGCGAGGCTTCCTTGCCAACCCGAGCTGGCGACGCCTTCGTGGATAGCCCGCGCGGCCGCCCCCGCGCCCGCGACTCGTTGCCGCATCCGGCCCACTGTCCAGAACTTGTCTGCGAGACTCGGCATGCCCCGCTTGCTCCGCGCCTCGCTGATGCAGGTGCTCAGGCACGGCTGCAGGAACCCTCTACGCGGGTGTTTCAGCGGGCACCCAGTTTTCTGCCTTCCATCTTCCTGGGGGGTATCGGTAGATTGGCTTCGACGACTGCATGGCGCGGGGCCGAATTGGTTGACGATTTGCCCAGGCATTCGGCGTTCGAGGCACGACGCACTCGGGCGGAGGCACGACGCATTCGGGCGCCAGCTCGTGATTGGTTGACGGTTCAGCAGCGGCTGGACATGGGTGCAAATTCTAGCTCGCGGGTTCCCGTTGTCCCGCCGTCTCCACCCGCTGCGTCTGCCTGCGCAGCGACTAGACACTCGCGCCCTTGAGCGACCTGGGCGCCCTGGCGTCGCCGAGCTGCCTATCTCGAATGGTGCGGATATTTCGAACATTGACGAGGCAAACAGCTTCTCGTTGGTAGAGGACGCGGTCCTTGCGGGCACCGCAACTTGCATTTCGGCGGACCGCATCGCCCCAGGGAAGGTTGGGACCCAGAGTCCTTGGACAGCGGAGACCCCCCGTTGAGGACCTGGACATGAGCTCTGGGAGTCGGCCGGAGGGGAGCTGTCTTCGACACACAGGGGCGCCAGAACGCAAAGCCCCCTTCGCGCGGAAAACCCCAGGGCCACTGTCGCCACGCGGTGCTGGTCCGAGCCCCGGGGAAGCCCCCTTCTGGAGAACACCTCGGGCTCGCTGTCGCCACGTGCTCGACGCACGGAGCAGCGGGGGGGCCACCCGAATGATTGTCAATTCGGCCGGTCCGCGGAGCAGCGGTGGACTGGCGGTCAAGCAGTCCATCCAGGCAACCGTAGGCCATCGTCAAATGGATGGGGAGAGAAGGACAACAGGAGGACGCCGGGGACGAAGACAAGCAGGAAAAGGAGGGAGGAGAGCTGTTAATGAAGAGAAGGCGGAAGAGGTGGAGGGGCAAGCGAAGACCTATAGCTCTTTATAGCTCTTGAAGGGCGCCCAGAAGGGCGGAGGGGGGAGGGGGGGGCGCAAACGCCGCGGGTGACGCGTGGTACATGCCCCCATGCAGCGGGATCGTCGTTCATGTTGATCAGGCTGCTGGCGCCGACGTCAGGCCCCCACCGCAGGCGAGCGAGGCCCCCCCCCGCGCATCGTCATCCGAAGGGCGAACTTGGTGAATGTGCACGACGCCATCGACATTCTCGCGGCTGATCTTGCTGGGCGGTGCTTGGAGTCTTCTCATGTTTGTCATTGTGTTCTTCTGCTCCTCGCTGGGGCCCGCTTCACCTCCACCGCCTCTCCGTTCACATGAGCAGTCACGACGTGCTCTTGCTGATAGGATACCGAAGCTGGGCACTGAATTGGCTTCCAGCGTCGCACGTCAACCACGTCGGCGGCGACGTCACACAATGGACGTAGTGGCGCGTGCACTATGTGGCGGACCTCCAGCGCCGCGCTGGGTCCGAGCCGCTCCTCGCCACCTCTCCGAGGGGCATCCCTGGCGCGCGCGCCAGCTCCTCAGGCAGATGGAGCATAACGTTTGAGCTGCGCCTGGCAGGGCGGCACTATCCAGCCATCCCGCGAGAGCAGCTACGGCTGTGCGTCGGCCCCCCTCGGCCACTGCATGATGCTCGGCGGCCTCTAGCTCTGCGACACCGCGGCTTCGCGCACCTTCGCCGGCGTAGCTGGGCGGCGGATGTCTCTCGCATGCCTCCCACTGAGAAGGGCGACTTCATGATCATGGAGAGGGCTTCCAGCACGGCGACTTCTCCTGCTTTCCAGCCTCGCATCCAATGACTGCCGCTCCCACTTCAAGTTGCGCCGCCCTGCGGCGCGGCGCGCGTCGGCGACTACCCTCCTGACAAAGCGAATGGCATAGTGGACCACGATAGCTACCCCAACCCGGCTGAGGAGGACATAGCTAGCATGGAAGTGCATTCTGAAGGTGGTCGCCAGTTGTTCGTCGGTCCGCAAGCAGAGGTCGCCTTTCGATGATGAGGTCATGGGCAAAGGCGAGAATGCTGACCACTTCGGGCCGATCTTGGGCGAGGACGCGCATGCTGCTCATGTACGCGCCGCTTTCGGTCGCCCTCGTGCCGAAGATGATGGCATCCAACCTGATCCAACGGAAGCGTCGGCAGGGATGGTCCCACCTGCGGCTACGACAGCTGACGCCGGCTGCTCGGCGGTTGACAATAGCGAAGAAGAGGACGGGAATTTCGACCAGCTAATGGCGCATTTTGTTTCTGGCGTGATCCGTCCTGATGGTTCTGCCGGTGGTGCTGCTGTTCACACGGTGGGCGCTGGCTCTCTTGGCGTGCCGGCTGGAAGTCCGACGGAGGCGGGGGCCTTCCCCGCGGCCTCACGTGACGCGCGGCTTCCCTGCCCCGGTGTGGCTGCTCTGCCTGGCGGTGGTGGCGGTGCTCCTCGCTCCCCTGCGTCGGCCGGTGGCTCGACGGAGGCGAGGGCCCTGCCCGCGGCTTGCCCGCGGCCTCGCGTGTCGAGCTGCTTCCTTGCCCCCGCGGTCGCTCCTCTTGGTGGCGCCGATGTGGCTCCACCGTCTTCCACGCCGGCTGGCTGCCCGACGGAGGCGAGGGCCTGCCCCGCGACCTCTCCAGACGACGAGCCCTCTGATGCTGACGAGGACACTGACGATGGATTTTGGTCTCACTGGCACACCAGATGGCAGGCCCCCGCTTCCGATTCTGAGGGCGGAGAGCGCGGCCTTCCCCGACTTCAATTCCCCCCCTGGTCCTGAGGCGCCTGCACGCGGCGACGGTCTCCCGCCCCTTCAGCCTCTAGCTCAAGATGGAAGGCGCTTCCGATGCCGCCCCGCCGGCCTGCCCACGAAGCCCAGGACTGCACGAACGCGCCCCTGGCCTGCACGACCACATTGACGGAGATGCTTGGCTCCAGCGACGGCATGCCTCAGTTCGACGGGTTCGACGCCATAACCAGCGCTGATATCGCCGACCTCCCGTCTCCGCAGTATGGTGGCATGAGTCCCGCTGGCACCGCCTCGGTGGATGTCGCACCTGGGACGGCAAACGAGTCGCTTCAACGTCGGCACGATGGTGCTCCTGACTATGGGTCCTCTGGGTCCCTGATTCACGATGACCCCCCCCCATTCCCGAACGCAGCAGGGGATGAGCCCGCCGAGCCAGAGACGTCTGACCACTGACCAGTTCCACCTGCGCATGCCGACGGCAATGGCGGATGATGGTGATGCTGCCCCCCTTTCTGGACGCAATGGACATGCGCTCCGAACTTCTTCAACAAGCTGTCGCATACAATAATGTCGTGCTGTCGGCGGCGGCAGGCGAAGAGGGGGCGAACGACTCGCTCGCGCAGGTCATGGTGACAGCCCTTTGACGGCGCTACCGTCGTCGCTTGCTCCACCGAGGACAGCGGCTTCACGGTCGACGACACCTACGAGGACGCCAGGCCGCAGGCAGCGCACAAAGTGCGGCCTAGGCGCGGCAGGGATGGTGCGCCTCTTCAGTGGCGCGGGCCCCTCCTCAGTAGCTGTTCCCCTTCCCACCACCAGGCGCGCCGTTGGGGCGGGCCGTGCGTCTCGCGTGCGACCTCCTCCCATCCAGCGGCTGTGTGCGCGTTCCCCCAGGCCTTGCCAGGCCACGGGCCCTGAGGGAGCGGGCGCCGCCGCTGTTGATGCTCCACCCCCGGGCGCACGCAGTTGCCGCGACGAGGACGACGGCGGCGGCGACTGCGGCGGCGTCGACAACGGCGGCATCGGTGGCGCGGCGACCGGCAGGGACGACGACGACGGCGGCGGGCGGCGGCGGTGACGGCGGCGGCGGCGGCGGCGACGATGGCGGCGACGATGGCACCAGCGGCGATGACTTCCCGCGCGAAGGTGCTCATGTCGGCCGCGTGCTGCGGACGCCGCGGGCACCTGCCGTCCCTCGGCGCGCGCGGTCGCGAGCGCCCCGGTGTCCCAGAAGGAGACCGCGGGCACGCTCGCGCGCGCGCGCGTCCCCTGGGAAGGCCCTGGAACACCTAGGAGCACGAGCGAGAAGGGAGGAGAAGCAAGAGGAGGAGGAGGAGGAGGAGGAGGAGGAGGAGGAGGAGGAGGAGGAGGACGACGACCACGACGACGACGACGACGACGACGAGTAGGAGGAACACGAGGAGGGAGGAGGGCGGAGGGAGGAGTAGGATAACTGTCCTCCCCCTCCCCAGTTCCTCTTCCCACCTGGGTAGCGCACCGAAGGCCCGGTGCGCAGCTCCCTCCCTCCCCCCCTCCCCGCCAGGGTGGCGCACCCACCCTCCCCCACATGGCCCCCGCTCATCCCTGGGGGTGGGCCCCGCACCCCGTGAAGTCCACGGTGCGATCCCCTCCTCCGTTCACAATGACACGGTATGGGTATCACCCTCGTCTCTCCAATGATGCCGCACTGGTCTGAGAACAACGCTCTCGCATGCCGTGTATGTGTATACGATGAGTCTGAATCGCTTGGCACATCGGTGTTCAATCAGATCTTGTTCTGGCTTGGAAAGTGGTGGTCTCACTGGAGCGCTCGCCATAAGCATTGCCTGGCTACCAGGGAGCATCCGTCCAACAGAACGACGATGTCATCGCAGCGGTGGCAGCGGTTGCTGCATTCTTGCATGCAATGCAGTGGTGCGCTCGCCTGTTCGTTTGCCATACTGGACGTTCGCCAGGAACCCGTCCAACGAAAGGGCGCTGTCGCCGCAGCTGCGGCAACGGTGTTCTTTTGTACCAGTGAGAATGATGATCCTTTGGGATGGTGGCGTACATTTCCGAATGTGTCCGTCGATCTCCACTGGAGCGGTGCTCTCGCCACAGCGTTGGCCGTGGCCCTGCATCAGCAAAAGGTGTGCGTTTCTTTGCAGCGTGTGCCACATTGATTTCCATAGATTATGTCCAGCGAACCGGTGCTCTCGCCGCAGCGCTGGCCGCCCCCTGCTTCCGCATGTGCTTTGTCTCTTCCCGGGGGAGGTTCCTGCGTGCCGTGCTCTGCTGTGCGTCAAGGCGGGTGTCTGAAAGGACCGTGGGGCTGAAGGATTTTTCCGACACCCGACCCTGGCCCTGTGGCACAGTTGGGCCTTTTTTCCTGGCCCTCCTGGTGCCTCCTCGGGGCCCTTCCCATCGCCCTGGGGGCTGTCTAGCCTCGAGGGGCCTCCTGCTGATGCAATATAAAAATTCTGAGGCGTCGCGGCCCCCGTCGCCTGACTGAGGCTCCAGGCTTCTGTTTCCGAAGTTAATCGGTCGTTTGACGAAGTCTTGTTGGTATGTTGTTCCTTTCTCCTCCTCCTCCTCCTCCTCCTCCTCCTCCTCCTCCCTCGCCTCCTCCTCCTCCTTCTCCTTCTCCTCTTTTTCCTCCTCCGCAGCCGTTTGGCTGAAAGCCAAGATGGTAATCATTTCACTGCCTCAGCCAGGTATGCTCCCATCCGATCCTCCGATATCCCAGCTTTTCATCCGAAAGTCCTGCGCGCCTGCAGGCACTACATATCCCAAGTCCAGCTCGAGCGCCTCGGCCGCTGCTGGCATCCACATCCTTCCCGTGTGTTGCCTCCAGGCGGCGCTCTTGCACTGTCTCAAGGCGGTGGTGGTGTCAGGCCCATCGTTTGCTCTGCAGCAGCATCAACCACGCTACGCTGTATACGGATCAATCGCAGCAGCTGGCAGCAGGCGCCACAGCAAGAGCTTCACGGTGACGACCCGGAACAAGGACCCCATCTACACCAAGTTTGACGAGAGCCCAGCGCAAGGGCGCATGGAACTCTATACAAAACGTCCCCTGATAATCACTCAAGCACAGCATCCTGCAGTTAAAGTTGGTTGGTGCCCAGCGTTCCAAAAGCATCATCACCATCGACTCGGTGCCGTGGTCGTCGTTGAAGCTCAAGGAGCTGGAGATCCATCACGGCTACGTTGGGACGCGGCGGTCCTCGCCAGATTTGAGATTGATAAGTCACCATTGGTGGCGGCGTTCAGTCAGGCATTCTCGGACGTGGATGCATTTACGTGGTCTATGCAACAAGAGGTGGTTGCCGTGGACATCAGCGGCGGAACACAAGAGTGGCACCTCTGTCAGTTGGATTGCGCGCATTCTGCTTTGCTATAAACCTTACAGAAGGAAGGCCAAGCTGAACGAACTTGTACCCTTCATGCGCCGTGATCCAAGAATGCCGCGGCAACCAAGATCTGCTGGAGACTGTCATCTGACCAATGTATGCCCTACAAGGTTTTTGTTCATCTAATGTCTCTCCGTGCTGGTGGCATTGCCTTTCTGGTTCCGGGGAATCGGCGGGGAGGTGATTGCGTTGACGCTTTATTTCGACATGAATGTCCAGGCAATTTTGGGATTCACAGCACCAAAAACGACCTCTCCATCACCATCACGAACCTTCTCGCTTCCGGGTCCCGGAAGTTCCGGGATTGACCACGCAAGTCAGATAATTATTCAGAAGACAGTGGGGGCACTTGTTGACTGGAACCATGAAGGTCAATCGCATCAGGCATTGTTGGCTACTGGTGGCTTCAATGTACGGGCTGCAGCTACGAGGAACTATGTAGTTAATCCTGCCCCTGATGCCCATGGACAGCCGCTGCAGAGATTGCGGGACAGATTACGATCCACAACAATTAAGATTCACTGACTGTCATACTCTTGTAGGGATACGTAACAGAGTTTTCACGAGATGGCACGCTCACTTGCTCAACGTCAGTTTTCTGGTCGAAGTGGATTTTGATGCAGCTACGATGTCAGGCCAGCGACTCAGTGGCCACACGCCGATCACCATCATGCTTCGGGATCGCGCTCGCCCTGAATTGAAAACTCACATTCCCGAGCTGGTTGACACGATCATCGCCGTACGGAACGTCTAAATCAATTGGAAGCAGCTGGCCTTCAACGGTCGCACCCTGTATATCAACGGAGACCCATGAAGGAGCTGACCATTGAGGCGGCGCGGCGGTTTCGCGATGAGATGCAGCAGCTTCCCATCGCATCCCGGGACTCCAGAGTCAAGGGCGGCAGGATCATCGCCATGAGCGATCTCCAGGTGCATCTGGCGCGACGAACTCTTAACAGCAGAGTAGCCCACTGCCACCACCGAGGGCGGCAAGCGCTTCCTGGGCATCAGCAGAAGCAGCGCCCAGCTTCTGGACGGGGGAATCTTCGCCAGCACCATGCACGCCCTGAACGTTGAGTTCCTGCAGCGCGAGGCCAGTATCGCGGAAAGCAGGGCTTCAGAATCGGTTAATCGGGGGCAGGGGGTAGCAGCTGAGAATGAGAGGCGGGTGGCCCATGCCCGTCAGCGTGGAGCCAACCTCTGGCCCCCCAAAGTGGGTAGGCGTGTGCTTGCTGGCGCTTGACCTGAGTGTCGTCAACAGGATTCCATTGTGGCCAGGGAACCCAAGACCATAGCCGTTGGCCTCAACGCCCACTGGAAGCCAGTTTTTGGAGCCAAGACAGTTGATGACCAGGCCCTCAAGGATTTCCTAGTTCGAGCTGCCCTTCAACAAGACCCCATCCGACCTCGAAGGGGGGGTCTTGTTGAGGGTGTGTTCCTTCTCGGGCAATGTTGACACCCGGCATATGTATTAAAGTGCGGTTTCTTAGCACTATTGGCGCCTCTTTTCGGCTCCTCCGTGTCCTTGTTGCGTTTTTCCTGGAATCAATCCTCCCTTTGCACGCTTTATGTTACCGTGTACCGCGATCGACATGCCGTCTCTCCCATGGCGCCCCGCCATTGGTTGAGGTTCCTTATGTAATCGAGGCTGCGCGGAGGGCGTTTTCAGGGAATCGAAGGTTTGCCAACGCGCTTGCGGGCGCAGGCGAGTCGTCGGCCACACTCCTTTCAGCGGGCACAGGTCTGCGGTGAATTATCCCGCTTCTGGCCCTGCCTCAGCTTTCCATGTGGCCTGGTCCGCATGCGGTTTCGGGCTTGGCAGGTGACGAAAGCGGCAAAGGGGTCGCCATCCGAAATGGACCCGAGCGCCACCCTGCCTGAGCCCGCGATATTGCAGACAGACCTCAAAGGGTACGTCGTTTCCTTCTCCCCCTCCTCCTCTGGGTTCTCCTTCTCATTTCCCCCTCCTGCTCTTCATCCTCCTCTTCTTCCGGGTCCTCCTCCTCTTCCTCCTCCACCCTTTTTCTTTATATATGTCGCACCCCGAGGCCGGTCGAAGGGGCGGACCAGGCGTTTCTCAGACTCCTTCGCCATTTATGACCTCGGACGTAGAAAATGGCGACAGCTTCACAAATGGAGGGCGGGTCGCTTGCAACATATGGCTCTCGCATTAGCGCGGCGCACACTCTTCACAAATAATTGCCGGAGCTGCACGGATTGAGAGCGAGTCGTTTTCAAAACATGTCGCCTTAGCGCCACGCACACTCGCTGTAAACAAATTGACAAGAGATTCGCGGACTGAGGGCGGGTCGTTGTTTTATGTGGTTGTTGCTTTAGCGCCGCGCGCAATCGTCCTAAGAATTTGCAAGAGTTTCACGGATTGGGAGCGATTTGTTTCTCAAAATGTGGTTCTCGCCTTGCTTCCATTTCGTCTTAAAGACTGAAAGAACTTCACGGGTTCCCATGGCCAACGTGCCAGACTTGGCGTTTTGGAAAGACTCAGGATTGTGACGGCGCAACACTTACATTGATTCGTGGTGTTGAAGTCCCAAAACGAGCGTTTCGGCACGATTCAGGATCGTCAAGACGCAAAACTCATGTTGATTCGTGGCGTTGGAGTCCCGAGAATGGTGTTCTCGCACGCTTCAGGGTCTTCAAGCGGTTGTGTCCCAACAAGGCAGTCCGCTCAGTGGAAATAAACTTTCGTAGAGGCCTATGAAGATGGAGCTTCGAGGAAGGGTTCATTCCAACATCGCTAATGAGTCTCGGGTTTCCACTGGTCCTCCTCCTCCGCCTCCTCCTCCTATTCCTCCTCCTCCTCCTCATCATCATCATCCTCCTCCCTCTCCCCTTCCTTCTGCCTCTCCCTCTCCCTCTCTCTCTCCCTCTCCCTTTCTCTCTCGCGCGCGGACGCGCGCACACACCCCAGCAGGGAGGTGAAGAGACGGGATGGGAGGACTTGGCAAAACAATGGTCACGGTAGACGTCTGCGCGTAGCTTCGGCCTCGGGGGTCCGCTTTGGGGCCCTGGGGTCTATGAAACCACGCTCCAGGGTAAAACAAAGTGTTGCCGGGATGGCTTTAAGAGCGCCGAGGGCCCACACGTCATGAAATCGCACGTGTGCGGAGGGTGGGGAGGAGGAGTAGGAGGAGGAGGAGGAGGAGGACCAGTGCAAACCCAAGAATCATCATAGGCCCCATACGTGGACTATCTTCCACTGAGGGAAGTGCCCCGTTGGGAGACAATCGTGTGAAAATCCTGAAGCGTGCCAAGACACCACTATCAGGGCTTCAACGTCACGATTCAACCTGACTGTTGAATTTTGACGACCCTGAATCGTGCCAGAACATTTTCCCTGGGACTTCAACACCCCGAATCAACGGAACTATTGCGCCCAGCCAATCTTGAATCGCTCGAAAGCACCATGGCTGGAATATATCCATGAGAATCCGCGAAACTCCTGCAACGTTTTCACAACGAATGCGCGCGGCGCTAAGGCGAGAGCCACACGTTGAAAACAACCTGCCCTCAATCCGTGAAACTCTTGCAACGTCTTAAAACCAATGTGCGCGGCGCTATTGCGCGAGCCACAGCTTGAAAACCACCCGCCGTCAATCCGTGAAGCTTATGCCATGTCGTAAACGAATGTGCGCGGCGCTAAGGCGCGAGCCACATTTTGAAAACGACCCGTGCTCCATCTGTGAAACTTATGTCAGCTTCTAAGTTTCAAGTTCATAACTGCTAAAGAAGTCTCCGGCCACACGCCTGGCCCGCGCTTCCGACCAGCCTCGAGGTGCGACAGGGAGAAGTTATTCGCAAGGACAAAGAATGGTGGAGGAGGAGGAGGAAGAGGAGGAATGGCTCTGGGCTGCCTTAACCCCGTTAGTGGGCAGAGTTCCCTGGCGGCGCCACCCTGGAAAGCACGGGGCTTGTGCCAGGAGGAGGAGGAGGAGGAGGAGGAGAAGCAGGAGAAGCACGAGGGGAGGAGGGAGGAGGAGGAGGACGACGAGGGGGAGGAGGAGGAGATAGGGGAGAAGAAGGGGGGGAGGATTGGGGAGGGGGCACGGGCAGGGGCAGGGGCAGGGAGGGGGACGCAGGTGCAGAGGCAGGGGCAGGCGGCGGCACTCGCGCAGGGGCAGCGGCGCCAGCGGCGGCGACGGCAGTGGCGATCATGTCCCCTCTGCCACCCCAATCGGCCAAGCGTGCCAATGTCTTTGGGCCGCCCACAGGACAGGAGACCACGGGCCCATTCTTGAGCAGGCTGCCGCCGCACCTGGTCAGCGAGGTCACTCCGCGCGCCATCTTCTCTCGCTGCGGGCAGGGGGGCACGCCAAAGTGATCTGCAGCTGTCCCGTTCTTTCTTATGTGCAGCTGAGGAATGCGCACCCCATCTCTCAACAAACCTTCGGCGCGGGTCATTCACTGCGCCCACGAGCTCGCCGTACAGATTCTCCCCTGCAGCTTCAGCTGTTCTGGCGGTTGTGCACAGTTTTCAGAACAAATCGTATTTCGAACTTGTTCACGGGCGTAGCCCGCATTTGATGTTCATACGATTAGTTGACAGCAGGGCACTGATTGATTGAACCGACCGTTACAGCGCAGCGTTGTCCGCGGGAAGTGAGGACGTCCGGCTTTCTGTTTGGGGCCGCGGGGTGATGAGATTTGGTTGGCAATTTTAGGCCAGGGGGGAGGATACTTGGCTGGCTCTTTTGCTCCAGGGGGTGAGGATCTGGCTGGCAGGTGTAGACCAGGGGGTAAGCATATCTGGCTGGCAGTTTCGTACCAGGGGGTTAGGACATGTGGCCAGGAGTTTTCAGCCAGGGGGGGGCGATATCTGGATAGCAGCCTTTTAGGCCAGGGGTGAGGATATCTGTCTGGCAGGTTTAGGCCAGGGGGGAGAACATATGATCCAGTGTCCAGGGCTCCTATGCTCCTGCCCCCCCCTAGATGGGATGGGCCCCAAGGGCTCCTACGACCCCTCACCCTGGATGGGACTGGGGCGGAGGCGAAGGCCGGCGTGGAGTCCCCGTGAGGCATCAAGGCATGATGGCATCAAGACGTCAAGACATCAACGCATCCATCCATCAAAGCATGAAGCATCAACCCATCAAAGTATCAATGCATCAGGGCATACAGATTTCCATTCCCTCCCCTTCCGTCGTCTCGTCCCCCCCTTCTTCGTCTCCTCCCCCCTCCCCTCACCACCCGCATCACCCCCAACACTGCACCCACAAGGCCTCCCCCCCAACACTCACCCACTGCACCCAAATCAAGCTCCTCACTCACCGGCCTCCCCCCTCAGCCACACCCAGAGGAAGGGGGAACACCAGCACCAAATCGAGCCCCTCACCGCCCGCGCCCTACCCGCGAGAGCACATCAAAGGAGGTGGACTTCACGAAGGGGGCGCGCGCCCAGCAGCATGCCTGGGGCTTGCAGTTTTGGCCAAGGGGTGGGACATCTGGCTACTGGCGTGGGGGGAAAGCGGGGCGATAGCGTGGGGGGGTAGAAATCGACGGACCTTCGTGGAGCGTGGAGGGAGGGGGGATCGCGTGAGGGATTGAGCTCGGTGCTTCTGGGAGGGGACACACTGGGCTGTCGGGCGGTTTGGGGTGCGGTAGGGGGGGCGCTCGTGAAACTCGGAATAGCAGTTTTGGGCCAGCGGGGAAGATGTCCAGCTGGACGTTCTGGGTCTGGGGGCGAGGATATCTGGTTCGCAGTTTTGCGCAAGGTGGCGAGGATATCGGGCCGCCAGGCTTAGACCAGGTGGTAAGGACTCCGGGGCTGATAGAACCCCACCTTGCCAAGTCGATCAGCGAATCCTCACATGGGGCGGGCCTTTTGTCTTCTTCGTAAGATGTTGCAGTCGCCAGGTTGTGGGCCTGCTTCCGCGGGTTTGGTCTCCGAGGCGTTTTCACCAAAGGGTGTTTTGCTAAAGGTGGTTCTGTACAACCCCCGAAGGATATCTGGCTGTCAGTCTTGGGCCAGACGGTGAGGACATCTGGCTGGCGCTTTTTCTCCAGAGGGGCGAGGATGTCCGGCTGGCAGTTTGGGGCCAGGGGGTGAGGATATTTGGCTGGCGCTTTCTCTCTGGAGGGGTGAGGATGTCTGGCTTGCAGTTTTGGGCCAGGGGGTGAGGATAGCTGGCCAGCAGTTTTGGTCCAAGAGGTGAGTATGCCTGCTCATCCCCACGGTGATGGTATCCAGCTGCCTGCTGCTAGTCCCGCCGCCGTGCTAGCCCAGTATTCTGGGTGTCGACTGTTCGAGGGGGCACGGGAGGCCGTCAAGTGTGACACCTCGTGTCTGGGAGATCCGTGATGAGGATGATGAGGATTATCAGGATGATGGGTTGATGATGATCTTAATGATGATGGTCGTGAGGGTGATGGTGATGGTGATGATGTCGATGATGATGGTGATGGTGATGATGAGGATGAGGATGAGGATGATGATGATGATGATGATGATGATGATGATGATGATGATGATGATGGCAATGCTGCTGATGCCGATGCTGATGATGCTGATGGTGATGGTCATGGTGATGACGACGATGATGACGATGATGACGATGATGGTGATGATGGTGGTGTTGACGGTAGTGATGGTGCTGATGGTGATGATGGTGATGATGGTGATGGTGATGGTGATGTGATGGTAATCATGGTGATGATGATGGTGATGATGGTGATGATGAGTGTAGCGATGATGATGATGATGATGATGAGGATGATGATGATGATGATGATGATGATGACGATGATGATGATGATACTGATGAGGATTAGGATGAGACTGAGGATGATAATGAGGATGATAATGAGGATGACGCTGATGATGATTGTGGTGATGATGGCGATGGCGAGGAGGAAGGTGAGGATGATGATGGTGATGCTGATGACGCTAAATCTGATGCCAATACTAAGGATGATGATACTAACAATTAGAACACTAATAAAAATACAAATTCTAATAATAAGTATGATACTGGTGGTGATGATGATGGTTATGGTCGTGTTGATGGCAATGGTTACGACGATGATAATGCTGATGATGATGACGACGGCGACGACGACTATGATGTTGATGCTGCTTATGATGGTGGTGATGATGACGGTGGTGCTGATGATGATGGTGATGATACTGGTGCTTGCGATTATGATGCCGATGATAATGACAATGATGTTGATCATAGTGATGAAGGAGGTGATGATGACGGTGATGGTGGTGATGATGGTGCTCGTAATGGTGTTGATGATGCCAATGATGATGATGATGATGATGATGATGATGATGATGATGACGATGATGATGATGGTGGTGATGGCAATGGCGATGGTGTTGATGGTCATGGTGATGCTAATGAGGCTGGTTACGTTGACAGCGACGACGATGATGATGATGGTGATGTTGGTGGTGATGGCGATGGTGATGGTGATGATGATGATGCTGATGATGATGATGATGCTGGTTGTGATGATGATGGTGATGCCGATGATGATGATGATGATGATGGTGATGATGATGATGATGATGAGGGTGAGGCTGAGGACGGATATGGGGATGATGATGAGGATGATGATGATGTGGATGATGATGGTGATGACGATGACGATGACGATGGTGATGATGATGATGATGATGATGATGATGATGATGATGATGATGATGATGATGATGATGATGGCGATGATGCTGGTAGCGATGATTATGATGGTCATCCTGGTGATCATTACGAGGAGGAGGAGCAGGACGACGACGACGACAACGAGGGCGAGGACGAGGACGAGGAGAAGCAGCAGGAGGAGGAGGAGCATGAGGAGTAGGAACAGGAAGGCCTTCACATGTGACCTCTGTCGTCTTCACCAACTGAGGTGCTATCTTGAAGCTCGTTTCGGCCGTCTTGGGACTGTCTTGGCCTCGTGTGAGGCAGTCTTGGAGGTTCCTTGGGGCCCTCTTGGGCCGTCTTAGGGCCCTCTTGCGCCGTCTTTGGGCTCTCTTGGGCCGTGCTGGGGCCCCCTTGGCCGTATGGTGGGTGTCTGGGGGCCGTCGTAGGACCGTCTTGGCGCCGTCGTGGACCGTGGGCCGCGAAGGGCCTTCCAGACCGTCTTGGGTCCCACGGGAGGCCCTCTTGGGTTTTCTTGTGGCAGTCTTGAATGCCATGTGAGCAATTGTGTGGTCCTCTTGGGCCGTCTTGGGACTCTTGGAGGCCTCTTAGGCCATCTTGGGGCCATCGTGGAGGCTTCTTGGGCCGTCTTGAGCTGACAGGACCCCGAAAAGGCGAGAATGCAGAAATCATGCACAATCCAAAGGGTAGCCAATGATTTGGGCTCCTTCGGACCCTCTTGGAGGTCCTCTTGTGGCCCTTTTGGGCCCTCTGGGAGGCATCTCGGGCTGTCGTGGGGCCATATTCGGCCGCCTTGAGGCCATCTTGGGCCGTCTTCGAGGCATATTGGGCCATCTTGGTGTCCTTGGTTGCCTACATGGGCCATCTTGGAAGCTCGGGACGCGGACACATCGTTTGTTTGTATGAGAGTTCGTGACCTCGGGAGCCCTGATCCATCGTCTTGTACGAGGGATCGTGGCTCGGGAGTAGGGGTGATGCACGGACGTGTTTGCGGGTAGAAAGGGTGGAGGCCCCTTATTAGAATACAGACATCCTATCAGACAGCGTTTGGAATTTTACCACGCCTCAACGGGCCAGGAGTCATGGTGGCAGGTTGCGTGTGTTGTGCCCGTACATATGCTCGCACCCTGGCGCCAGGCTGGTGGAGGGCCTTGTCCAGTGATCTAACGCCCACGTGTCACAACGCAGGGTGGAGGTCATAGTTGGGGAGGGGAGGAGGGTGTCGCCAGATCGGCCCTCCAGCTCGAGGTTCCCGGCCCCACTATCACACGCGCCCGCGCCCACCCGCAGCTGCCACAGATTCAGGCAGTCTCGAGGGCTGCGCCGGGGCCTGACCGACCCCCCGCGCGGGGGGGTAGAAGGGCAGGCGCTTGCGCTATGGGCTGGAGCGACTGGAGCAAGGACGGGCAGGACTCCAGCGACCAGAGCGGCGGGCGTTGGGACGCTGGTGGCTCCGGTGGCTGGAGCCACGAGGATGGCCAGCAGAAGGACTGGGGCGAGGGCGGCTCAGGTGGATGGAGCCGCAAGGATGACCGGCAGAAGGACTGGGGCGAGGGCGGCTCTGGCGGCTGGGGCCAGAAGCAGTCCAGGCAGAATGATTGGGGCGGCGGCGGCTCCGACGACTGGGGCCAGGCGCAGACCAAGCAGGATGGCTGGGGCGGCGAAAACTCTGACAGCTGGGGTGCCAAGTCGAAGGGCGGGAGCTCCTGGGACGGCAACCGCGACGCTGGCGGCAGCAGCCAGCCCTCGGATGGGCGTATCCCGTCTACTCCGACAGCCATGTCGACGCCCGTGCAGAAGGCAACTGCCGAGGTCAAGGCGACGATACCTTCCACGCCGATGGCCGCCTTCGACCACCGCACTAGTGGCGCGGCGATGCCACCGCCTACGCGCCCCCCGGCCTCGAGGTTTGCGACGGCCCCCCCGCAGGCGGGGGCAGTTCCGAGCACTCCCGTGGCGGCCTTTCAGCAAACGGCAGCACCGAGGTTGGCGACGGCCCCCCAGCAGGCGGGGGCGGTGCCGAGCACGCCCGCGGCGGCCTTCCAGCAGGCGGGGGCGGCGCCGAGCACGCCCGTGGCGGCCTTCCAGCAGACGGCAGCACCGAGCACCCCAATGGCGGCCTTCCAGCAGATGGCGGCGCCAGGCACCCCCGCGGCGGCCTTCCAGCAGATGACGGCACCAGGCCCGGCAGCACAGGACGGGAGCGAGAAAGGGGCATTTGAGAACGTCTTCCACTCTCTTACCTCTTCCTTCCCGTTCCCCTGCCCAACCACCCCCTTCCTCCCCTTCCCCTTTCCCTCCGATTCCCCTCCCCCTGAGCCCCGATGATGTCACAATGTTGGCCAGCGTGGGCCCCAAGGGTGGTTATGGCTTACAATCAACGTGGTGCAAACCATGTGACGTAATCAATGTGATGCGATATACGCGGTGCAAGCTACGTGGTTATGCGGTGCAATGGATGTGGTGCGATCCATGTGGTGCAGTCTGTGCGAGGCGGCGCGACGGAGCGGCGACTGAAACAACGGAGCCGCCAGACCGACATTCAGGCCCAGACGACGGCCCGCGACGAGGCGGCGTCGGAGCGGCGACGGCGGCAACGGAGCCGCCAGACCGACGTTCAGGCCCAGACGACGGGCGGCGACGAGGCGGCGACGGGGCGGCGACGGTTGCAACGGAGCCGCCAGACCGACATGCAGGGCCAGTTCCTCATTCCAGAAGTAAGTACCCATGAATGTGAGCACTGTTTCGGGAAAATTGCAGTATTCCTCCTACTCCTTCTCCTGCTCCTCCTCCTCCTCCTCCTCCTACTCCTCCTTCTCCTCCTCCTCCTCCTCTTCCTTGCCTTTTCCTCCTTCTCATCATCCTCCTTCTCCTGTGCTCCTCCTCCTCATCATCATTCCCCTCCGCCTACTTTTGCTGCCTCTCCATCGCCTCCCGCTTCCCGTCCAGGCTCTCCCGGTAGCTCCTCTCTGGCGCACGGCGCATGTGTGAGGCTGTGTGTTCGAGGGGCGCCCTTCGAGGATCGAGGATCACGGCTGTTGGACGTTGTTGGTCATCTCAGGCCCCCGGTGGCTTCCTGCGGGGACCTCTGGGGGCGCACGGGCCTCGGGGAACATCAGGAAACCTCCGGGGACCCTACCTGCTGCAACTAGCCGTTCTATGGCAGCAGAGCCAGCCAAGCGTTTGCCGAACGCTCTGCCAGGGAGCCTTGGTCTAGGGCTGTGGGGCGGGTATCCTCTTGGCCGCGGCTTCGACTGCGCACACACCAGCTTTGCGGCGGCATGCACAGCTCGATCGTCTCTGGCACGATGCCGCCGCCTCCCACGCGGCAGAGGAGGCGCATCCTCTGAACCGAACAACGAAGGCCGACGTTGATTCTGCAGCTCGTCGTCGCCGCGCACACGGCCACCAGGAGACTCGACGTTGCGAAAAAAATACAACATCGCGAAAAAGCACGACGACGACGGCGACGAAAACGACGGCTGGTTTTTTCGAGCCAGAGCTCTGGATCCCATCGTCCTGATTCGCATTTTCCGAGCCAGATCGAGATGTGATGGCCCCAGGGCGGAAACGCTTGGTGGGGAGAAAAAGTTGCAACGCCCAGACCTCAGGGTACATTGGCACTAACGCGCTCGACCAAATACGGTTCGAAGCTACACTTGCGACGAATCGGGACTGCCCGCTTTGTTGTAGGGCGCCCTAGTCGTGCAAAACCCTCCGGACCAGCTGTCATGTACTTGCACCCTTGCGACGAGACAACACTCGAAGGGCAGTTGCAACATGGCGTCCTTGCCACACCACCAGGGCCTCGGGTTCCTCGGCGGCTTCACCACGAATCGCCAAGGGCTTTCTGAGGTCGCGCAGTGCCAGCAGCCATTGTGGGTGGGCGTACTCACTGGGGGAATGGCGCCAACAATCAGCGACCACGTGGCCCGCCACTTGCGGCCCCATGAAAGGGGCTGCGACATGATCCATCACCAGTTGCAGGACGCCCTACTTAGGCTAATCCCGATATCAAAAGGCGGAGTACGTAACAGGCCTCACAGCGAGCCTATGTTTTGTGATTTGGTTCAGATTTAGTTCGCGATTGCGGCCCTTTCGACCTTGGAGGCGGACGCAGGATCCAGCACGTTGTATGCATCGCCGATACGCTTAACGCGCTGAGCCAGCGTCCCACTGCACTGGGTGAAGATCAGCACGTTGCCACAGTCATTGATCCACTAGTTCCAATCACACACTTGGACATTATCATCGTCGGAATTGGGCGCGCGGCAGCGCGCGTGAACCAGAGCAGGCTGATCGGTTGGTGCAACTGGCTTCCGCATTCTTTCCATTCCACGTGGCTTTCTCGCAGACAAACAAGAGTAGAATGCATGAATGCGTTAAGTTTAGCATCCTTCTCCTCGACCTTTTCCCCCTCCCTGTCATCATCATCATCATCATCATCATCATCATCATCATCATCATCATCATCATCATCATCATCATCATCATCATCGTTATCATTATCAGTATCAGTATCAGTATCATCATCATCATCATCATTATCAAGGCCGCCGCCCGCTCAAGCCTTCGGTGACGCAGCGGTCTCTTCAGAAAATCCCCCTATTGTTCGCCAAGGGGCAGAGAGCACACTGCGATGGCAGCTCGCACGGATGCCAGCTCCGGAGGTGCGCCTCTTGCGGCATGTTGACGCGTTGCATGCTGAGGCCAGTTGAGGAGGTCTCCCACAAGTGGGACCAGCACTACAAGAACAAGCCGCTGCTTATGCGCCGCACATCCAATGAGCACACCGAGCAGCAGCTCAAGCAGCTCGACGGCGCCGAGAAGAAAAAACTGGTGGCGGTAAAGGCGGAGTACGAGCTGCTTACGAAGTTTTTGGCAGTGGTGCGGCGCAACCAAGACGAGAGGGTGCACGACAACCACAAGATCGAAATCAAGGGTCAGTTGCCATCGTCATGGGGAACTACCACCTCACCTGCGCAACTTACCGAGCGAAGACCAAAGTCGAGCATCACTTCCAGTGCCACCGTTGCGGCGATGGCAAAGTGCGCATCTCCTTGCACACTGTCAAAAGGAGCTACTACTTCATTTGTGCCGCCAACGGAGAGCAGTCCAACATCGTGTACATCGTTGAGTACCACGGCTGCGACGACGCCCACGTGCGCATCTTTTTGCACTTTCGTGCCGCGCAGTTCGCGCTCGCGCAGGAGGGGTCCGAGAAGTCACAGCAGGAGAACCCGAGGGCGGAGCACGAGCCGCGCACGAGGCTCATGGACGAGGCGCGGGGGGACACTCAAGGATGACGTTGCCCGCATCGCTGGAGCGGAGCAGTACCACGAGAGGCACTACGACGAGCCCTTCGCCGACATCACGCGTTACGGAGTGCACAGTACCACAGGATGTACTACGACGAGCCCTTCGCCGACACCATGCGCCACAGAGTGGAACAGTACCACGGGAGGCACTACGACGAGCTCTACGTCGACATCATGCGCTACGGAGCGGAGTTGCCCCGCAGGAGGCACTACGACGAGCCCTTCGCCGACGTCATGCGCCACGGAGCGGAGCAGTACCACAGGGGGCACTACGACGAGCCATTCGCCGACATCATGCGCTACGGAGCGGAGCCGTCCCACTGGAGGCGCTACGATGAGCCTTTCGCCGACATCATGCGCTACGCAGTGGAGCAGTTTCACGGGAAGCATTGCGATGGGCCCTTCGCCGACGTCATGCGTTACGGAGCGGGGCAGCACCACGGGAGGCATCACGACGCTACTACTTTACTTGTGCAACCAGCGGGGAGATGGTCAAAGCCGAGTAGCTTCGCGAGTACCACCACTGCGCAGAGGAGTTTCTTGTACCTTTCGTCCGCGCAGTCCCTGGGTGCGCTGGATGGCCCGCTGTACAACTGATGCATGTCCCAGGTTCGAATCCGAGAGCTATCCAGATTCAAGCACGATCCCCCTCTGAACGAATTCGAGATGATTGGCCTCACGACGGAGCTTGCATGGCGAGCCTGAGCCACGGTTTCTTCTCCCATCTCCGACCCTCCCAACGCTCAGCGTGCAACGCGGGCATCGCCAGCTGTCTACGGCATTCCCTGGACCGCGCGCACATGCGCGCAGCGCCCCGTGAAGCACGGCTCCTAGCGAGCTCTTTAGTTAGCAACCGAGCTCTCTGCGACGGACCATTTTTTATATCTAAAACCTGTTGCTCAACAGCTTGGTCCTGACGTCGAGAAAAATCATCATCATCATCATCATCGTCAGCAGCATCAGCAGCACCATAAGCATCAGTATCATCATCATCTTCAGCATCATCACCATCATCATCTTCATAACCATCGCCGCCAGCAACAGCATGAGCATGCACCATCCTCCTCTTCATCATCATCAGCAGCAGCACAACCAGCATCCTCATCAGCAGCAGCAGCATCACCATCACCATCAGCAATTACCCCACTCCTCCTCATCCTCCCCTCCTCCTCTCCTCATCATCATCCTTATCCTGTCCCTCCTCCTGGCACTGGTGTTATCCTTAATTTTACCATTGTCCTCCTCCTCCTCGCCATTATCATCACCAGCATCATCATCATCATCAACATCCCTTTCATCCTTCTCCTTCTCCTCCTTTTTCTCCTCCTCCTCCGCCTCCTCCTCCGCCTCCTCCAAGCGCTAGCTCGGCCCTCTCCCTGGGCCTCCGAGCCCGCGCCAGAACGCTCTCGCGCCGCCCGCTGCTTTCTTCTCCCCGTCGCCCTCGGGGCCCCCCCTGCGCGCCATGGACCCGCGCGCGGCTCGGCGTCCCCAGCGCTCCAATCGGACTGCGGCGGAGCGCCGCGCGCAATGCGCGGGGGCGCAAGGTCGGGCCGCTCTCCACCTCCTGTCCGCGTTCGGCGAGATCGAGGGCCACCGCGGGCAACAGCTCACTTCGCTCGGCGCTTCGCTGAGCGAGGTGTTCGCTGCCCGTGTTCCTCGCGGAGTTACTGCTGGCGGGGCCGAGGGAAGGGTCGGCAGTTCCTCTCGGCACGCAGGCGGAGCCGCTGGAACTGCTGGTCCGCTTCGTGGTGACGGCTATGCCGACGCGGGTGCTACGGCAGCTGGTGATGCGCAGGTCCCCTCAGATGACAGCCCCACTCGCCTGGACATGTCGACGACGTCCGTGGAGGTTGTCAGGAGGGCCGTGGAGTTGTGCGC